TGATGAATCCTATCTAATAATAGACAAAATGGTAATTGACCGTACCTTCGCTACACCTCCCAATGGCTAATCAGCATGATATGCAAATATAAATGCCAACAAAGATGGCGGCTAATTTGCACACTGCAGGCAGGGCGGGACAGTGCAAGCTGCCAGCACGAGCTGCCATCCAGGCCCCCGTGTGCGACCCCAGAAGCTGCCTGCCTGCCCGTGATTGGATTAACAAAAACAAAGTAAATGGATTAAGTAACATTAAAGAGATTATAAGAAAAATATATTCCAAATTTTGTTAGTTGTATAATGGTTATGTTTAAATTATTAACACCTAAGAAATTGGGTGAAGGGTACATATAATATGCTGTAGTATTTTATAGGTTTTTTTTTACATGTATGAGATTATTTCAAATTAAAATGTTAAAAAATTAAAAATTAATAAAATATTAATTGAAATGTATCTGCATTACATGAAAAATCTCCTAATTGCTTCTAGCATAATTTATTAAATTGTGCTAAAATTTACAAGGGTTCAATTAAAAAATATCTTAATTCTAAATGATATAATAGAAAATATATAATAGTGCAGTTATAAGCACTTATCTGAAAATAAAAATTTAAGGAAGTGAATTTAAAGAAGGGATTAGCCAAAGAAAATATATACACAACCCCTGGACACAGACAACAGTATGGTGATGGCCAGAGAGAAGTGGGGGGCAAGAGCTGGGTAGAGGGGGCAAAAGGGGGGAAATAGGGACATCCTATATAATAATAATAAAAGGCTAATATGCAAATTGACTGAACGGCAGAATGACCGGTTGCTATGATGCGCACTGGCCACCAGAGGGGATGGTAGGTGCAAGGGCATAGACGTATCAGAGCAAAGGTGCTTAGCTAACTACAAGTGGTCTGTTAATGCAGGAGCTGCCCCCTAGTGGTCAGTGCACTTCCATATGGGGAATGCCACTCAGCCAGAAGCTGGCTCATGGCTGGCCAGCGCAGAGGTGGTGGCAGGAGCCTCTCCCACCTCTGTGGCAACACTAAGAATGTCCAACTAACGGTTTAGACCCGATCCCTTGGGGGCCTAAGCCTTTAGTTGGACATCCCCCGAGGTTCCCTGGCTGCCAGAAGGATGTCTGACTGCAAGCTTAGGCCTGATCCCCAGGGGAGTGGGCCTAAGTTGACAGGTGGACATCCCCCAAGGGGTCCTGGACTGCAAATGGGCGCAGGCCGGGCTGAGGGACCCCCCCCTCCGAGTGCACAAATTTTTGTGCACCAGGCCTCTAGTTAGAAAATAAATACCAGCACCTAAACTCCTTCCCCTCCCCAAGGCAGAACGAGAGTGAAAATATAGTCTTGGTTACCTTTGGTTTTGCATTTGTTGTTTTTGTTTTAAATATATTTTCATTGATTTCAGAGAGGAAAGGAGAGGGAGAGAGAAATAGAAACATCAACAATGAGAGAGAATCATTGATCGGCTGCCTCCTGCAGGCCCCCTACTGGGGATCAAGCCCGAAACTTGGGCATATGCCCTGACTGGGAATGGAACTGGTTACCTTTTGGCTCCTGGGTTCAACTGCTGAGCCACACTAGGCTGGGCTGGATTTAAGTTTTGATGAGAAATCTGGCCTGTGTGTTCTCCCACGGAAATGGCCCCACATTTTCTAGAAAGAGTTCCCAGTCAACACCCAATGGCACATCCCCATGTCAGTGCCAGGAATATTCATTCATCAATGATGATTTACTGAGAGTCTTCTACATACCTAGCATCATGCGAGGTCCTGGTAATTTAGTCACACAAATGGCAACTGTGTGTAATAATAAGTGCGTAACTTCTCAAGTCATCTAACAGCTTTTACAAAGCACACCATCTTTATTTTGGTCTACATTACTTTCTGTAAAGCATTTATTTTTCAATTTTCATACTTTCAAACTATAGTTTTAACTAAATCTTTTTGTAGAATATACAGAAAAGTACACAAATCAAACATGTATAGTTTGATGAATTATCACAAAATGAATACATCCCTGTAACAACCACTCAGCTCAAGAAATAGAAGAACAGCCCTAACCAGTTTGGCTCAGTGGATAGAGCGTCGGCCTACGAACTGAAAGGTCCCAGGTTCGATTCCAGTCAAGGGCATGTACCTGGGTTGCGGGCACATCCCCAGTGGGTGGTGTGTAGAAGGCAGCTGATCAATGTTTCTCTCTCATCAATGTTTCTAACTCTCTATCCCTCTCCCTTCCTCTCTGTAAAAAAGCAATAAAATATATTTTTTAAAAAAGAAATAGAAGAGCATTCAGAGACAGAGAAGCATCAATCAGACCATCAAACCTCAGAGGGAAGGTAGGGGAGGGTGGGGGTAAGGGGGAGAGATCAACCAAAGGACTTATATGCAAGCATATAGGCCTAACCAATGGACACAGACAACAGGAGGGTGAGGGCATGAGTGGGGGGGACGGGGGGTAATGTGGGGATAAGGAAACATATGTAATAACTTAATCAATAAGAAAATTACAAAAAAAAGAAATAGAAGAGCATTAACAACATCCCAGAAAATTTCCCATCACTACCCTCCCCCTCCCTGCAAAGGACATCACTACCCTTGATTTCATAAATGAGATTGCTTGTCTTAAACTTTATATAAATGAAATCATACAGAATGTACTCTGGTGTTTGTCATCTTTCACTCAATATTATGTCTGAGATTCATCTTCTGCTGTGTAGCAATCCATTCATGTTCATTGTACAATATTCAATTACACTACAATTAATTTACCCACATACTGCTGATGAACATTTGGTTCATCAAACAATATTGCTAGGATTATGCTTGTACATGTCTTTCGGTGCACAGATGTTTGCAGACCTGTTGCTATATAACAAGAACTGGAACTCAAAGTCATAGTAAGTGTGCTCAACTTGAGTAGATCTTGCCAATTTTCCAAAATGGTTGTACCAATCTATACTTCCATAAGCGAATTTTAGAATCTAGATGTAACGGTTTTCCCATTCACATTACCCAGATATTCATTAGAATTGTTATTGTTTTAATCTTTATTGTTGAAAGTATTCCATATGTCCCCTCTTCTCCCCATTAACCTCTGCTAGCCCACCCCTGCCTGTTTTTATTTCTCAAATAGATATAAACTTGTGATCACCACAAAGTAACCACTTGCTTTATGTTTTTAAAATATGAGTTATTTTCCCTTTTAAGATATTTTATTAAAATTGAATAAAACAAAATAATATTTACAAAATATATGTAAAGAATAAGAGTACAATGAACCTTCATCATTGTTCCATAGGTCATTATTACCATCAACTTTGAAGTTCCCAAAAGTAATGAATACCATGAATTTAGGGTTAATCATTTACATTTCTTTATGATTTTAAAGCTTATTTATGTATCCCTAAAAAACATTCTTAGTTTGTATTTTTGAATCTTTATATAAATAGAATCTTTATCTTTATATAAATAGAATAACTGTTTTCTGACTTGCTTATTTCCACTCAACATTATATACCTGAGATTATTAGTACTAAATGCCAATATTTTTTTCTTATAAACAATGAAGCTATGAATATTCATGTACACTGTCAAATAAAAACAAATCTGGACTTAGTAAGGAGAGACTTTATTTGAAATGATTATTGAAAGGGATTATTGCAATAGAAAAAGGGAGGCTTTTGCAATGGGAGAACACTCTGATCATAAGATCTTCACGTGTTTCAAGGGTTAGGCAAAAAAGTTATTCTTTCATAGGGAGGAGTAAACAAGGCTAGAAAGAACTGGGTGTGAGGATGTGGTATGACCATAAGTGGCATGATGGGTCAGTAGATCAGAGAATGTTTACCCTGAAGCCAGACTATTCTCTGGATGGGCTGGTTAAGGAGGGGTTGTTTGCTGGCTCAGTGGATAGGGGGGGATCTGGGGGGGTCACAAAGTTCAGGGACCTGGGGGAAGGAGCAAAGCTTAACCATAGTTTAGTTAACAAGCCTTTTAAAAAATTATTTATTTATATTTTTCCATTGATCTTTTAGAGAGAGTGGAAGAGAGAAAGAAAGACAGAAATATCAATGTAAGAGAAATGCATCCTGCACCAGCCCCCACCAGGGCCAAGGGCCGTTGGAGCCTGCAATCAAGGTAAGTGCCGTTGACCAGAATGGAACCCGGGACCCTTTGGTCCGTAGACCCACACTCTATCTATCCACTGAGCCAAACCTGCTAGGGCCTTAACAAGCCTTTTGTTGTGATTGATCAGTGAGGTCAAACAGTCCATCTAAGTGTTTATGAGGTGAGAATTGGAATTTGGAGTCTCTCTATTGCAGCAGTTCTCAACCTGTGGGTCGCGACCCTTTGGGGGTCGAACGACCCTTTCACAGGGGTCACCTAAACACATCCTGCATATCAGATATTTACATTACGATTCATAACAGTAGCAAAATTACAGTTATGAAGTAGCAACGAAAATAATTTTATGGTTGGGGGTCACCACAACATGAGGAACTGTATTAAAGGGTCGCGGCATTAGGAACGTTGAGAACCACTGCTCTATTGTCATAGGTAAACAAGGGGGCGCCCATAAGTTTTATCTCTCATAGAAGGGTGTTTCTTTGCAGTAACCTATGTTTCAGAACACAAAAGGGTGGGAGGGGTTTCATAACCCTCCCTATTTTCCAGGATCCTAGAGTTTGTAAAGTGAAACAACGTCAGGATATCTCCTGATAAACATAAGCAAGAATTTCTTTAAAGTATATACTTATAAGTGGAATTGCTGGATCAAAAGATATGTGTAACTTCACTTTTACAGGGCAATGCCAAATTGTTTTCAAAGTGGTTGTACCAGTTCATACTTCCACCAACAGTGTATGGTATCTCCACGTGCTCCACATTATCACCAACGCGTAAGGATTAAAATACTTTTTGCCAGCCTGGTGGATATGACGTGGGTCTTATTGCCTTTCCTTGATTAATGAGATTGAACACTTCGGACCACTTTTCAACTGGATTATCTTTTCTTATTGATTTGTGTAGGTCCACTAATATGTCTTGGAAGATAAATGGATGAACGACCTTAAAGTCTCTGAAATAAAGAAATGAGATTAAGTTTGGAAGATCCCCAACAACTAAAAATCCTGAAAACTACGCCTCCCACAGGCTTCTAATTTGATTATCAAGAGTTTATGAAAATCACCTCACTTCTCAGGTGATTTTCCCCATCATCCTCGGCTTCTCTCTGCAGAAAAAGTACCCGAACAACTTATCCGGCACCTCTGCAGTTCCAGGTTCCACATCCACAGCTTCGGCAGCCTGATCAGGATCACACAATTGTGACACGGACCCTTGCGTCACTCGTGGCGTTCTCGCGAGAATTGGTTCCGTTGATCACGTGACAGGCCAAGATGGCGGTGCCCGGCGAGGCGGAAGAAGATGCGGCCGTTTACTTAATAGTGAGTGGCATCCCCTCGGAGTTGCGCTCGGCCCAACTGCGGAGCTACTTCAGCCAGTTCCGGGAGCAGAGCGACTGCGGCTTCCTTTGTTTCCATTACCGGCACCGTCCTGAGCGGGCCCCTCCGCAGGCTACTCCCGCATCTGCCCTAACTCCTACCGGCCAGAGTCTTGCCCAGACTTCAGTCACCGACGGCCGCACGCGGGACTCTGTCCCCGTCCAGACCCGCACCTGCTGCTGTGTCGTCTCCGTACGAGGGTCCGCTCAAGCCCAGAAGTTTCTTCGCATGTATTCCGGCCGCCAGTGGCTAGATTCTCAGGGGACTTGGTTGCCCAGTCGTTGTTTCATCCGCAAACTTCGGCTACCGACTGAGGCAGCAGGTACGGTTGGGAAAGAGAAATAGACTGGACCTGGAACCAGGCACGTTTCTCTCCTTCTCTTTAAATATATTTTTATTGATTTCACAGAGGAAGGAAGAGGGAGAGAGAGATAGAAACATCAATGATGAGAGAGAATCATTGATCTGCTGCCTCCTGCAAGCCCCCCTTTCTCTATGCAGCGGTTCTCAACCTGTGGGTCGAGACCCCTTTGGCGGTCGAATGACCCTTTCACAGGGGTCGCCTAAGACTATCCTGCATATCAGATATTTACATTATGATTCATAACAGTAGCAACATTACAGTTATGAAGTAGCAACGAAAATAATTTTATGGTTGGGTCACAACATGAGGAACTATTTAAAGGGCCAGAAGGTTGAGAACCACTGGGGGGTTGATTTTCAACTGACACAGAAGGATAAAAAGAAAGTCAGGTTTCCAATCCTCTTATTATCTTTATCTCGATCTCCTCCTGCTCCCCACCCGTCCTCTCTTAGCAAGATACAAATAAAGAGACAGTTTCTTTTCTCAGGACAGCTCCCATTTTCATTGGAAATCACTTTGATGGGGAACAGGAAACAGTGCGGAACCTTTTAATTCATTCAACAAACCTAGCTTATATTGTTAGGCCTAGTGTTCCTCTAGTTCAGTGGTTCTCAACCTTGGCTGCACATTAGAATCACCTGGGAATCAAAGAAACAATTTCTGGAGGATGAGGCCCAGAAATCAGGATTTTAAAAAGATTCCCAGGTGATTCTAATGTACAGCCAAGGTTGAGAACCACTGCTCTAGCTGGTAGGAGAATTGGACACATTCTTGTGCACAGAGTCCAGAGATTTGTAAAAAGGTAATTGTCAGAGATGCCATTCTCATTGTTAATATTTACTGAGCACTTCCTGTGTACTTACTATGCACTATTCTAAGCCTTTTCATTTTTTTTAATTGATTCCTCACAACAATACTATAAGGTAGGATCTATTGTTACTCGTGTTTTATAGGTGAGGAAACTGAGGGGTGCAGAAGTTATGTTGCTTGCCTAAGGTTACAGAGCTAGTAAATGGCAGAATCACAATACAGACCCAAGCATTTTACTTCAGAGCCTATGCTGTTTGTCACCAAGTGCTATGAGAAGATAGAGGAGGGAGAAACCGATTTCTAATAGGGATCAGGCTTTTCCTCTGGATCTTGAGAAAGGTAAATTTGTGGGGAAGAATGGTGTTCAAAGTAAATGGTATTTGAAAAGACACAGACAGATGTGAAAGCTCATGAGACTTTCAGGGCATGTTAAATTGTTTCATGTGGCTGGAGCACATGATATGAAGGTGTGCAGGGGCTGACGGTTGGTGGTAGTTGAGGATCAAAAGATCAACAGGAACCAGATCTGGAAGAAACGTGTGCTCAGCTGAAGTGATGAGAAATGGCATGAAATTACTAGTTGGTTCTGGTCAGGGAATGGAGGAAGGGATTCTGGGATTGTGAAAGGGAGGAACAACATTGGACTAAAGGATTTAAACTTTGACCGACTTCTGGCTCAAGTGTTGCTGGAGGCTTCTAGGTTTCAAGAGCCATTCTTCTCTCTGCTTCCCAAGGTTTGGGCTCCTTTCCCTTCAAGACCCGGAAGGAACTGCAGAGTCGGAAGGCTAAGAGTGAAGCCTTCACCCTCGCTGACCTGAGACAACTGCCAGAGCTGAACCCACCAGTGCTAATGCCCAATGGAAATGTGGGGACGCCCCTGCAGGTCTTTTTGGAGTTGATCCGGGCCTGCCGCCTGCCCCCTCGCATCATCACCCAGCTGCAGCTCCAGTTCCCCAAGACAGGCTCCTCCCGACGCTACGGCAATGTACCATTCAGGTATGAGGATTCAGAGACTGTGGAGCAGGAAGAGCTTGTGTACACGGCTGAGGGTGAGGAAATACCCCAGGGAACCTGCCTGACAGACGTACCAGCCAGCCTCTGTGGAGGCCCCGAGGAGGAAGGGGAAAAGGAGGAGGAAGAAGAATCACACTCAGATGATGTGAGTACAATGAGCCACCCTTCCTTGCTGGCAGCTTAGAGAGGCCAAGGCATTAAGAATACCACTCTCGCCCTGACCGGTTTGGCTCAGTGGCTAGAGCGTCGGCCTGTGGACTGAAGAGTCCCAGGTTCGATTCCGGTCAGGGGCATGTGCCTTGGTTGCAGGCACATCCCTAGTGGGGGGTGTGCAGGAGGCAGCTGATGGATGTTTCTCTCTCATGGATGTTTCTGACTCTCTATCCCTCTCCCTTCCTCTCTGTGGAAAATCAATAAAATATATATTTAAAAAAAAAAAAAGAATACCACTCTCCCCCAGTGGGTGTGGCTAAGTGGTTGAGCATCAACCTATGAACCGGGAGGTCAAGGTTCGAT